GAGTGACTGCTTTAACTGTAGAAGAGGCTTTTGGTTTTAGGCTTTTCTTTTTTTTATGGGCACATTTGTTTTATGTTAGATCTCTGGGAACTGTCTAAAAATTATTAGTCCCATTGAAAACTGTACATTTTCTTTCTCTTAATGAAAATTTTCTATAGAATTCAATAGACAGCAGGCTGTTGGGGCTACCATTGATAACTTCAGTTAGTGCTTTTATTGCCTACTGCTCCTTTCCAGGAGACACTTGATTTGTCTTGGCTGTTTTCAAGAATTATTAGTACTGGCTATAGTTACTCAAATCTTTTGATTAGCTAGAGACTTAATAAAGCTGTTTATACCCTATTTTTTATGGATGGCTTGAACTCTAGAAATTGCTTTACTAATTGATTTCAGGATGGATGTGCTTGTGGCTGAGGAATTAATGTCTGCAAAGGCTCTTACATGACAAATTCTTTCCAATAGCCATATTGTGCTTGGACTTCACTCTTATTTTTAAGAAAAATAATATGCTTGGCATAACTAACCACGGTTGAGGTTTTTCTTAAAAAATATGGTTCTAGCATTATTTTAGCTGACTCTATTATAGTATTTTTGTAACTTTGTGTTGCTACTATTCAAATCTTTCTCTAATGCTGGATTGTGTATGAGGTAAATTAAACTCTGAAGAGCAGATAAACAAGTCCTGCTAGTTTGCATGTGCTTTATATTTCATCAACTGCTATAAAGGGAAGGTGTTCAGGCAGCTATGTATCACCTCATGTGCTATTCTGCCTTTCTTTGTTTCTCTACAGCAGCAATTACATTGGGATGTCCCTGATCTTGCAGTCTGTAGTGGCCAGACAAGACTGCTTTTTTAATAGCACTGGTTTGCTGGCATCATGGCTCAAAGGGCAGCTTGGCAGCCTGTTCTCCTGTGGCCCTCTGCTTTCTTCCCTGCCTGCTGACACCTTTTCTGCTGGTGTCATTGCTTTTTCTGGAGTCGCCATGCAGGAATAAGCAGCTGCGCATGCAGCCTGCAGCTAACCTTTAACACTGGCTGAGACTGTTGAACCATTTGCATCAGTCCTCTGTGATAGCTTTAAGGCTTAACTGCCTTTATACAATGCCTGGGTCATGGGTTGCTTTTTGCAAACAATCTGTTTCTCCTAAATTAGCAGTTCTCATCTCTTGCCCTTGTGTTACAGAAGTACACCTGTGCCTCTGGGCTCCTGCTGCTTGTCAGAGTTCAGCATCGGCAGGAGGCTGCTGCGATTTGCATGGGTGGTTTTGACCACTGTAGTGCGTTTCTTTCCTGCTTGCTGCAGTGGTACATCTGTCATATCTCCCTCTAATAGAATAGGTCAGGTATCGAGCTGTGGTCAGTCCCATCCCTCTTAGTTTGCCTGGGGCAAACAAAAGTCTCACAGCTAACATGTCAGGCAGACTGCTGGGATTCTTCTTCTCCAAGATGACTTGTGGCATGTGGGAACACCAGCTCACTCTGTCCGTGCTTTCCTAGAGGGCATTTGTAAGGTCAGGTTCAGTGGTCAGCCTGAAGTCTAAAGTGGGACAGAGGTGTAACACAGCAGATTCTGAGGGTGGAACAAGTTATAATGTCCGCAAAGCTTGTTGAACCCCTAAATGTTCAATGACAGGGTTATCTTGGCTACTGAAATTTGGACGTATCTGTGTGTGTGAGGCTGTCCTGCCAGGTGGAATCTCAAATCTGTCATCATCCAGATAGGGGAGGGAGTATCCTAAATTTTACTAAAGTCCCTGGAATGGCCCGACCTATTTGAAAAGCGTCTCAGCATACTTATATGGCACCATATTTTATACTCCCAGACTGACTTCAGTCTTGGATTCTCCTTCTAGGGGATGTTTAGAAGAGTTGGCAGTTACTGTTGCTGCTGGTCATCTGCTTATAAAGACACAAATGGTCCCATGAGCAGCACCCAGCCTCACGTTTTTTAAAAAGGTCCATGAACTGGGTGGGAGCTGGGCTCCCTTGGCTTCCACCTGCTCAAAGGCCCTCAATTGAATCTGCAAAACAGCCCCACATCAAGAGGCAGAAAGGACAGTGTCTGATCTGAACATTTGTGGTTGCATAGTCTCTTTGCATTTTAAATCTTCAAGTCCTTTGGGTCTGTGATTTTAAACTGATCATGTGAAACAACTTTAGAACAACAACTTTCTGTCAGGCTTGTTTTGCAGAGGTTTTGGAAAAGATTCCCAAGACAAGTCCTCTTTAGGGCAATTGGCCCTTCCCTGTTGTAAGGACTTGGAGAAGGCATAAAGTGGCAGTGTTCTCCTCACACCTTATGCCTGTTACAAACCAACTCCCAGGGAGAATATCAGCAGCACGGTCCTCAGCTTCCCATGACTAACTCCGATTATGCCTTGTGATGTTTCTCTGGGCCAGACACTGAAGACCCATGAGAAGACCCCAGTCTGACACCCAACAAACATCAAGGGGAGCCTTTGACTTGTTCATTGCTCATGGCTTAATGCAAGGGAACTGCTTCCCTAGGAAAAGGAGAGAAAGAACTGCAGTAACTGCCACCAGCAGTAAATGTTTATCTCATTCTTTACATGAAGTTTTCCTATTTCCCACTGGATGCATGTAGGGATTCAGACCTACTATCCTGCATTCAGCAGGCGAGAGATCTTCTATTTGTAAGACAGAAAA